ACGAGTTCAGCGACGCCTTCGTTGTTTTCCCGCCGCAGGGCGCGCTGGATGCGGCGCCGACGAGATCGCCAGAATGCCCGTCCGCTTTCCCGTGGGCAATTGCGACTGCGAGCTTATCCGCAGCGTTTTGGCACAGCCCCTTAACCAAGTAGCTCGTCGCACAGTAGTGAACAACGTGGTTTTGTTGGCGGTCGCTCCCCAGTGGATGGCGCCTTGGCTCTGGGTGGTAGATGCGCGCGGTATGCTGCGCGCGAAGCTGCCCCCTTCCCCGGCGTGCCCCCATGCGATATCAAACAAGTTTTTTCCATATTAGATCATGGCTGGATCATGTCTGCGCCGAGCGAAATGGGCGCTCCTTCCCGGCGTTGCTTGATTATCAGCAAACACCATGACGAGACGCGCATGCACGCGCGTTTCAAGGGCAATGTATTCGGCCAATACAAGATGGACCGTGGTATTAAAAGAAAGTTGTCTGCTCTCTGCCGTCCGTTGTGTTTTTTCTTGATCCTCGGCCAAGAAGCATTCGCGACGACCTCCGCGATATCCGTGCTCGCCCGCGCGCGCTGATGATCCTGGGCTAGCTGCATTTGATCGGGGGCCGCGCATGAGAATATGGCAGGCCACTTCATGGAGCTAGCGAGGATCGCGGGCCTTTCCCGCACCCTGCCAAGTGCCAGTTCTCGTCGCCACGCGACCAGGCGGAGGATTTGCTTTCGCTGGGACTGCAGGGCGAACGAGATTCGAGTGGGGGCTAGTGTGATCGGACGCTCTGGGTCCTACCTCGGGGCGCTCTTGGGCCTTGATGGTGGGCATCTTTCCTGGGTCCGCCATCGTGGGGCTCTGATGAGACGTGCCGGGTGTGTCGAGGGTCTCTGTCTAGGCCTTGCAGGTAATATCCACATGCGGAATATCCACTGCATCCTCTTCTCCAACGCGTTGCCCATTTTTATCCCATTGGCAAGCGTGTTTCATCGGGGTCGAACGCGAGGCTCTCCAACAGCTCCCTGCGGCGCCCAGACATTATTTACCTAGCGGTTCTGCTCTATGATCTGCAAAATAATGATATATCGTGCCATGCCCGTTCAGCCACCCACCCCGCTCGCGCTGCCCGGTTCCGCGCCGCCATCCGTTCCGACGAGTTCGCCCGCGCCAGTGAGTTTCTGAAGGAGTTCCGATATTATGATGAGTGCCAGTTGTTCTTTATGCGCTCGCGTACCTACCGCTCATGCTCCTGACTCACACAAGTTTGAGTCTTTCGTGCGTGCCCCGATGATTCACATCAGCCTGAGCAAAATCGTGCAGCTATTGCTGGATCTCTCTCCTCTCCCTTCATCTGCGCGCGTGTTCAGTGCTGGTCTGAATTGCTGGCAACCAACCTCTCCTCAACTTTGTGAGCTTCCCTGAAGTAGGATTGTCAGGATTGTTGAAAAGCTTGGATCCTGTGCAGTGAGCTCGGTGCTTAAGACCTTGTGTAATGCCTGGGTCACCTCTCGTCGGTTCCGCCAAGGTCGTCTCGGCTGCTGCTATGGTTGTTTCGCGGTGGGTGGTGATGAGATTGCACATATTTCCTGTCCTAGTTCGATCCCCAGCGTGCGTGGGTGTCTCCCGTCGCTTCCCCAACGATGGGGAGATGATCCCATCACTTCTTTTCTGCTTGCACGTGTCTTTCTAAGTGATTTGGAAAGTCTTCTCAGTGTTGCACCCGCCACCGACGCTCTGCACGCCACATGCAATGCTCAGCGTGCCTCGGGGCCATACGGTGCGAGGCTGTCCGTCTCTCGTTCAGAGCGAGGTTGCGTGCGCAAGCAGTCCGAAGCAGCGTTGCACGGCCTCTTCGTTCGCGGTGGTCGAAGCGCGGGGCTGGGATGAACTCTATCAGGTCGGGTCGCGTCTCCTCCTCTTCTTCCTCCTCTTGCTCCTCCTCTTGCTCCTCCTCCTCCTCCTCTTGCTCCTCCTCCTCCTCCTCCTCCTCCCTCTCCTCCTCCTCCTCTTCGCTCCTCCTCCTCCCCTCGCTCCTCCTCCTCCTCGCTCGGAAGGCGGCGGGGGGGCGCGCCCGCTCCCGACGTGAGAGCTCGGCCGGCCGGGCCCGCGGTCATTCGTTTTTCGTCGTCGTGGCGTCGCGTCGTCCGTCGTCCGTCGGTCGTCGTCGGTCCTCGGCGACGTCGCCGTCGTCGCCGTTGTCGGCCAGCCGTCGTCGGTCCTCGGGGCCGTCGTCGCCGTCGCCGCCATCGCCGCCGTCGCCCTCACGCGTGCCGCCGCCGTCGCCGTCGCCCGCGTCGTTCGTCGTCCGCCGTCGTCGTCGTCGTCATCCCCACGGTGCCGGTCGCGCTGCAGTCCTTGCCGCAGCAGCGGCCTGGCCACCGCGCCGGCCGTCTCGGCTCGGTCGGCCGGTCGTCGGTCGTCGGCCCAGGCTCGTCGTTCTCGGATCCTGGGCACGCCCGCGGCGCGAAAAATATCACGACGGGGAGGTTTTCATGGTGTTCGGGCTGTTTCGTCGGTCTTTGGCGGTTTGCCAGCCTCGGGCAGCAGCCGCGCCTCGCCGAGGGCGTTCCAGGGGTGCCCAGCTCGGCCCGAGCAGCCGCCGGAGATCCGAGTTATGCTCGAATGTTCGCGTCGTGGCAAAATCGCGACGAGAGGTTGTTGGCACTTTTCGGCCTCTGGGGGCCCCTCGTCGTGTCCCGGGGTCGTCAGCAAAGGGCTCGGGATGCGAAACGGGACCAGGGGAAGGGGTCGGCACTGACGGTGACCCCGTGTTGGCAAAGTCTGGACATCGCACGTTTCGGACCGGAGAATCGTGGGCGCGGTAGTGACCAGGTCGGGGGACCAAAGGGGCGCAGAGATCATGCCCAGGGCCCTGACATCGCCTCGGATGTCATGCACCCTCACTATCTTTCAAGAACTACGTCCCCTCGTCAACCCCTCGTCCGCGCACGTGCCGCGGGCCATGATCTGCGACCCCACGACTTGTACGCTTCCCTCCAATTACAGTCGGGGCGTTGACCTAAGGAACCCTAAATAAGGAACGAGGCCCCTTTTCTCCATGAGTTAAACTTTGATTTCCCATCGAAAACATAATGAAACCCTGAGGCAAGCTGTGAAACAATTAAGGAACACGGAGCCCCTCCACAACGAAAAGGGTTCCTTCTTCAGCGCACCGACTGCACGCCCCCCGAAGAAGAACAACTGCATGAGCAAAAACCTTCGAAGGTCCGCGTGCATTTCTCGGATCGGCGCTGGACCACCATGGCGGCGCCTGCGGCGCCGCACCCTGTGCGCTCCGCGCGCCAGGTAAGGGAGGGAGGTCCAACGCAGATTCTCAGAATTCCGTGCGGACCTCCGAAAGTTTACGCTCATGCAGATGCGTATGCTTCTCCGATCGAAGGCCCCACCCCCTCGGATCCCAAGTTCGGGCACGCACGGGACGATCATAAGTACGTCGCCCCGGGGCGTTCCAGAGCGCCCTATCGGAGCGCTCTGGCGCGGCCGCGGCTCCGGACACTGCAGAAGTTCCCGATGTATGCTCGTTTGGGTTTCATCCTCATCCTGCAGAACCACTCAGAGGATGAAAAGGTACTCATACCTTTATCCTTCGCCCGTTTTCCCCTTTTCGGGCCTCCCGGGGAGCCCTCGTCGCCACCGCTGGATTCGCCTCGAAATCCTGGTCAGAACGCACCCCAGGAGAGGTCCGGGGAGGAGCGGTATCGGTACCTTTCGATTTCGCCCCAAAACGGGGTCGTTTTCGCGTACACTGGCGCGTGAGCTGCCCGCGCAAGGACGCGCGCAGGCGCTCTCGTTTCCAGAGTGGCGTGCCGCGCTGGCGGGCCGCGCCAGCCGCGGCGGAAGGTCGCCATGTCCTCTCGCGTAAGGCCCTTGTCTTCTTTTCGCTCAGACCCCTTCTTCGTTTCCGCACCGGAGGCCCGCTGACGGTACCCGCGGCGGGGGGCGGGGGTTGTGACGGTCCCCAGGGGTCGGTTTCCCTTTTGCCGTTTTTGTTTTGTTGTTTTTCGTGTTGTTGTTGTTGTTGTTGTATGTGTTTCGCTAAAGTGGGGGCGTCGGTGAAGGTGTGTGCACAGGAGGCTTCGAACCTTGGAGGATTTCGTGCCCGACGGAGGGCGGTGGTGGCATCCGTGGCCGAGCCGGAGTTGGCGTTCCACCAGCTTCTTGCCCCTGGATGCCTTATATCCACTGGTGCCTTGCCCACTGCCCTCACCGTGTGTTCGGCCTCCGGTGGCCGCCTCCGTTTTTGGGGGGGCCGTCAAGACATTGCCCAGCAGGAGAGAACCCTCCTCCTCCTCCTCCTCCTCCTCCTCCTCCTCCTCCTCCTCCTCCTCCTCCTCCTCCTCCTCCTCCTCCTCCTCCTCCTCCTCCTCCTCCCCCCCAGATGCCACGGCACACAGGACATGCAACGCCAGGAGGTGAGGGCGAGAACACGGCCCGTAAAGAGAGAGAGAGAGAGAGAGAGATGGAGAGCTGAGATTACGGAAGTTCCATCGGCCTCGCAATGGCGACATGGCCGACAGTGCCCCAACAGACGTTGGATTGACGCGCTATGGCAAGCACAGAAGGCAACGTTCGTGGAGCACTCGGGGGGCAGTCTTGGAGCCAGGGGCCCGTCGTGCACGCGTTCCTGGCGACGCGAGCCGGTTGAAACGAGGCTATGCCACCGACCGGACGACCGCGGCACGAGCGCGCGATGGCGTGGCAGCTGTCCATCGGACGGGCCGCGGCCCTGCGAGCCCCGCCCTGCCAGGCGCGGCGGAGGAGGAGGAGGAGGAGGAAGATCGACGAGGGAGGCGTTCCGAGCGGAAGTCTCGCGCGTGTGGTGTGAAGCCTGCGCCGCAAAGAGGGCACTGTGCCATTCGTCCTGCGCGCCTGAGGGGAAGCTTAGAAGAGGACGAGTTGAGGCAGCGGTAGTTGGCCTTCGGGTCGGGGTCCCTCGTCGCCACGGTTGGGCGCAGCTCAAAGAGTTGGTGCGTTTGGAACTCGGGAGGGTTCCAGGGATCGATCTTGAGCTGCCGCTATCTCAACTCGCCCTGATCCGAGAATCAGGGGGCCCTTTAATCCAATCATTTGGGCTCAAGCCTGTGGTGCGCCCCGCCCACCGGCTGCGTCAGGTTCACCGTGAGGCGTCCCTTCGCTCTGCGCCCCGAGCAGACGCCAGCGCCCGTTCTCCCTGCGACACGCATGGCGGACGCTCGCCGCATGTGCAGAGCTCCGCGCTGCATGCCTGAGGCGGGTCTGCGGACTACCAGTGGCAGCACTCCAGGCAGCATGGCGTGCCCCGAAGGTGCTGGCGGTCAGGTGGAGCCGCTGCCGCTCCCCAGGTTCCTGACGGACCGCGGGCCCTTCCGAGCGGTCTCGAAGCAGCCGCAGGCCGGCGGTGCCCTGGCCTGCAGCTCCCGTGAAGAATTGCGCAGGGCCGGCGCCGGCAGCTCCGCGCACCAGGTGCGCGAGGTGCCCGCCGAGCTTGGCGCGTCGGCTCCCGCTGCAAATGGCCCTGGGCTGGCGGGCCTGGCCGATGGCGTTCCGCCCTGGGCTGTGTGGGACGGAGTCGCCACTAGGATGGTCCAGAGCCCTGCGAGCCTCTGCCACCAAGAGGAGGTCCTGGAGGCCGCTGCCCAGTGCGGCTTCTCCGGTCGGTATGTTAAGGCCCAGTGAAGCGACCACCCCCCCCCTTCAAGTTTTCGCTCAGTGCGTCGCCCGAGCGTCGCCCGTGCGCCGGCCCTGGTTTGCGTCTCTGTCCCGAATCCCGGCCTCCCAGAGTGCGTGGGCGACATATGGCGCGACTTCGGAATTGCTCTGGCGATATATAGGTTTCCGACGCCCGTGCACCAGCAGCCATTTTGGCGGGCGCGGCGCACTCCTAGTTCGACGGTCCACCAACGCGTTCTGTTCCCAATTCGGCGCAAGAGGATTTGCTGGTGCTCATTGTCGGGGGCGCCAACCGTTGCTGAGGACGAATACGCCTCGCGTTGATTGGGGGCTGTGCGTGTCGCGCCCCGGTGGGGGTGACGTCGCGTCGCGCGACGCGGCGCCACTTCGCCCCGTCGCATCGCGCCCCGCACCCCCATGTCGTTTCGCTCCAATCCTCCTGCCCCCCCCTCTTCCTTCCTCTTCCCCTCGTCCAACGCGCTGCGCGTTTTGTCCCGTTTACGAAATTTGTATTCAGTTCTTTTATGTCAGGCTGCCGTCCTGTCCGCCTCCCTACTCGCCCCCCGTTGTCCTTCCACCCTCCTGGAACTTCTTCTCGCCCTCCTCGCTCCCGCCGCCCCCATTTCGATCGCCTTCCATCGCTCCCGCCGCCGCTGCGCCGCCCCCGCGCGCCCCCTCCTCGCCCGTCCGTTCCCATTTCCGCCCGCCCTTCCCTCGCCTCACTTCCATCTTCTTTTCCCCCCCAATGCATCGGCGGGCGAGACGTCGCCAAATTGCTGCAGCGACGGACCGATGTTCAACATCTGACGGGGCGTGCGCTTGAAATGGATTAGTCCGTGCGCGCTGCATCTCCATGTCGTCTCTTGGTCTCCTCGCGTTCGTAGTTTTCACGTGCGTGTCTCGCTATTTCTACGATTGCCGCGCGCATCCCTTGATTGTTTCGCCAGCGGGCCGTGCAGTTCACATGCCGTCAGGAGTCCACGGCGCCCTTCGAGCGATTCGCGCGCGACCTGCGCGCGACGCGCGAACGACCCGCGCGACGCCCGCGCGACGCACGCGCGACGCGCGCGCGACGCGCGCGCGACGCACCCCGACCCGCGCGCGACGCACCCCTGCCGGCGCGCGACGCACGATCGACCCGCGCGACGCACGCGCGACGCACGCGCCACGCGCGCGACGCACGCGCGACGCACGCGCGACGCACGCGCGACGCACGCGCGACGCACGCGCGACGCACGCGCGACGCATGCGCGACGCAGTCGCGACTTTGCCCGCCCTTGACATTTCTCCGAGCAGCGATGCGCAACGGCCGTCGGCCCGCCGTGCTTGCGCTGTTCACAAGTGGCGGCGGCTGCGCCATCCATTGCGCCAGGAAGGGCGGTGCTTGCCCCTGTGATTTCCCTTTTCCTTCCTCGTCGTCCCTCCTCTTTTGTCATTCCTCCTCCTCCTTCGTCCTCTCTCCTGCCTCGCCCCCCTCTCTCCTCCCCTTCTTTTCCTCCTTTCTACCAGCCTCCCTCTGTCAGTGCCTCCCCCCTCCTCTCTCGTCTTTGTTTTTTTTCCCTTGCCACCCCGTGCCCCTCTTCATTCTCTTTTCTCCTTCGGCCCCCCTTCCACGGCCGCGGCGCGTCACCGCGAGCGGCGCCCCCGCCTTCCGCGAACGGCCCCGCCGCTGGCGGTGGAGGAGGAAGATCACGAGGAGAAAAGGAGGGGGGAGGGGCAGGGGCGCGAGGCGGGCGCGGCGGCAAGGGCGGCCCGACAGGTGTAGGGGGCGGGGGGAGGGACGGAGTGGGCGGGTGCTTCTGTAATGGTCATGTTGGTGATCATGGTCGTGGTCGCGTTCGTCGCCTTGGTCGCGTTGGCGGCGGTCGTGCCGCTGGTGGTGGGCGGGCTGGTGGTGGTCACGTCGGTGATCGTGCTGGTGTCGGTCGTTGTGGTGGTCGCGAGAAGCGTGGTGGTCGTGGTGGTGATAATGGCGGTAAATGGTGTTGGTCGTAATCGTCGCGGTGGATGTGGTTGCGGTCGCATCCGTTTGTGGTGATCGTGGCGGCGGTAGTTTTGGCGCTGGCGGCGGTTGCGGCGGCTGTGGCGGCGGCTGGGGGGACCTGCTGGCCTATCGCCGGGCTGCGTTCAGCAGCATCGCTGAATGTGTAATGTTAGTGGGATTTGCAGATTTGCCGAGGTAGCCCAGCGGCCGCCTTCTTCTCGCCAAGAGGGCCGCAGCGTGGGCGACTTTCTTTTTCCCGAAGGCGATCAGCCTTTTTAAGCGGCCGTGGAGAGGGCGACGCGCGCGCGATCCGCCCCGTGGGCGTCCGCCGCGCTGGCGACGCACTCACCAAAGTGCCCCCTTGCGAGGGCGACGTGCGCGTTCGAGAGGGCGGCTGGCCTTTTCGGCGGCCGACGCACGGGCGACGAATGCGCGACGCACCTCCTGTCGCGAAGGGGGGGGGGGTCAGCACGCCGGTCGCTTTACTGGGCCTTAACAGGTCGGTACACTGTCTCCGACCAGCCGAAGGAGGCGGGAAACGGGGACTGAATAATAACATAGACATAACCACTCGGATCTCCGAGAGGATTCCTCGGATCGGCGGTGGACACCCCTCCCTGGCGCGCGCGCCAGGGGCGGCGCCGGAGGCGCCGCCGGGGGGCGCCGGCGCCAATCCGAGGAATCCGCGCGGAGCTCCGAGTTGTTATTTTTATGTCATCGACGACGACGACGACGACGCTGGCGGCGGCGGCGGCGGCGGGTTGGAGGTGCAGCGGGTTGACGAGGGCACGGTCAGGGGCGGCCTGAGCGGCCTCTAGCAAGCCATCCTTTCCATGGCGTGCCCCTCGCCTCGCCTCAAGGCGTATGTGTGCGGACGCAGGGGAGGTTCAAAGGCGAGAGGGTGACGTCACGGAAACGACGGCGACGACGACGACAACGGCGACGGCGACAGCGATGGGGACGGCGACGACGACGGCACGGGCGACGGCGACGGCAACGGCGACGGCGGCGGGTCGGAGGTGCAGCGGGTCGACGAGGGCACGGGAGCGCAGGTCGACGCGGGCGGCGGCGGCAACGTTAGGGCATGAAAACTCGGAGACCCGCGCGGGTTCCCCGGATCGGCGCTTGGGCCCCCTGGCGGCGCCTCTGGCGCTGCCCCTGGCCCCCTCCGCACGCCAGGGAGGGGGGTCCAGCGCCGATCCGAGGAATCCGCGCCGACCTCCGAGTTGTCCGAGAAGTTGTCCTGTTTATGTCATTGCCTGTTCCCCTAAAGGTGCAGTTGGGCGGTTTCGAGGCGGCGGGCGCGGGGACGCTTGTCAGGCGGCCTCGCATTCGCGGGCGTGACCGCCGCCATCGTAACCGCCCTGCCTTGAAGAATTTTCCAGGCGAGCCCGCGACCCCAGAGGTGTACGCATATGCGTGAAATCGGTTCCAGGATCTCCACCCACAGATGTCCGCGTCGAGGACTAAGATGCCGCAACGTATGCCGGATCCGAGACCAACGGGTTCAGTTGAAATTGCGGAGGTTTCTTCAACGAGTTCCCAGACGATCGCGCGACCCAGCATTTGTGCGTAATCGCATAGCTTGGCTCGGGTTGAAGCAGCGGAACATGTCCATGCTTTTTATCCGCCTGCACGGTGGGACAGGCTATAACGAGTTTTGCCCGTATCCATATCGAGTGGCAGGTCGTGCTGGTAGCCGCAGCCTTCAGTGTTGTCCAGACGAAGTGCTAGATGCACTCCTCCTCCGTTTTCTCCTCCGCCGCCTCATTCCTCTCTGCACACTCGCCATGCGTTCCTTCACTCCGTCCTCAAAATTCCGACAGCTGTGTTGGGACTGTGCCTTGCATAGCCTACCGCCCAGAAATGTGTTTCCTGCCAGGTTGCAGCGCGCTGTCCACAGCTCTGCACGAGGTCTGCAAACGCTTGTTTTGTTTACGTTGGGCGGGGGTGGCACCCTTGAAGCGGCTCGTGTGGGGGGGGTGTAGATTCCAATCTCCGCTCTCTGGGAAGCAGCAGTCTTGCCGTCGCTGTGTAGCTCAATACCCATGTTGCGCGGGCGGGGGCAGCTGGTGCGCAGCCGGGCCTAGCTCGCGACGCCAGGTACGCCCTTGAACAATTACAAGCTAATAACGCGTGTTGACCGTCTGGTGGATTTCTGTAATGAGCAATTCCCCTGCACCTCCCCCCACGTACGCCCCCACGTACGGTCAGGATCTGTGGCTTAGCATGTCGAGGCGCCAGTTCTGGTCCACCACGATTCGGCGCGACACGCTAACCACGTCCCGAGCCTTTCTCAACATCCCGCCCCGCGGAGCGGAGTGACACGCTGTCCGCTTGCAGGGCATAGCGCGTCGCCAAGGCCGCTGCCGCGACACGCGAAGCAAAGGTTCCCGACAGTTTTCTGGCATTGTTGGCGTCCTGCTCGGCCCAAGATCGCCCCCACAGCAGACGGCCCTGAGCTCTCCAAGGTGGCCGCAAGAAAATGCCCCGAGACCGATCACAGGTGGCCAGAAGAGCGTGGCAGAGGCTCCCCAAGAGGCCCCTGTTATGCCGCAAGTGGCCCCAAGCGAGTGCCCAAGGAGCCTTGCCAGCAATGCCCTGGGGGCTAAGCGCAGAGCGCGTTTCGCTTTCCAGGCGCTTCGGCTCATGACGACCTCAGGGATGCCGTGAAGAATCCCACGGCGGCCCCAGAGGGCCCCGAGAGAAGCCCTCAGTACTGCTTCAGGGGAGCCTCAAGCTGGCTAGCGAGCGTCCTAAGACGGCCCAAGACGGCTTGTAGGTGGCCCGAGGAATTGATGTTGGGGGTGAGAGGGGGGAGATGGGAATGAGCAGGGATAATCGCAGCTTCGAGAGTGTCGTCAGCATGTTGCATCTGCTCGGGCTTGTCTGCCCCAGCTTGGTTCACGAGACTTGCGCCAGTCCGCCGACCTCCACAACAGTGAACTCGCCAAGAGGGACTTCCCCCCGTGCCTGGCCTGTGGGTCAGGAGCCTCGGGATGCATACATGAGGACCTCCTGGAAGAAAATTCAGGGGCCTTTTGGTTTCTTGGGAACACCTGATTGGCGTCTGGGGCCTCTTCGGGGGCTCTTGGAAGCCTCTTGGGCCTCTTGGGGGCGCCTCGGGGGTCACTGCGGGGCTCTTGGGGCCATCAAGGCAGGAAAGATTCGAGATGTCAGATCGTATTGCCCCTCGTAGGGGCCCCTTTCGGGCCGTCTTAGGGGTCCCTGGGGTCGTCTTGGGGTCCTCATGGACCTTCTTCGGGTTCTATCGGGCCGTCTTGAGGCCCTCTTAAGGGCCTCATGGGCCGCGTTGGGACGATCTTTGGGGCTCCTTGGGCCGTAGTTGACGCGGTCAAGACGAAAAAGGCGTGCAGGAGTGGAGCGATTTTTGCTCCTTGCGGCCCTCTCGGCGGCCCTCTGGGAGCACTCGTGGGCCGTCTCGGGGGCTCCGTAGGCCGCCTTGAAGCCATCTTGGACAGTCGTAGGGTTACCCTGGGCCGTCTCGACGCTCTCTTGGATAGTCTCGGCGCTCATTGGGCTGTCTCGGGGCCCTTTGGAGACTCCAGAGAGCCCCTGGGGATGCGTTGGCGAGCTCGCTCCCCTACCCCGCCCACCCCCCGTCCCCCCAGCCCCACTCGCCACCCTCTACAGTCGGGGCCCTGAAGAAGGAACCCTTTTCGTTGGTGAGGGGCTCCGTGTTCCTTAATTGTTTCGCAGCTTGCCTTAGATTTTCCTTAGGGTTTCGATACGACATCGAAGTTTAACCCATGGAAAATAGGGGCCTCGTTCCTTATTTATGCTTCCTTAGGTCAGCGCCCCGACTGTACTGCGATGTTTGGCCCCCAGGGGAAGGGGGAAAGGGGTAGGGAGACAGCCAATCATCCCACACGCCTTCTCACCCCGGGCAGGCGGGGGTCGGCAGATCTGGAGTTGCCGTGCAAGCTGGTCGGGCACAGGCCCAGAGAGCAATTCGAGATAGTTGCTTTTCCGTGCACGGCAGGGCGAGTGAGCTAATCTTGCTCTCACAGACGACGCTCCGCGCATGGTGTCTCAGCGTGATCGCGGGGCCTATGCGTTTTTGAAGATCAACGTCTGAATTCTGAATCTCAGTCATGCTAAGCCCTTCACACCCCTCGCAGAGCGGAAATACCAAAACTCACTCTGGAGTAGAGGTCAGGCAGTCCTGAGGTCAAATCGCTCCAGAGCGTTCTGGAACGCTCCCAGAGCGCTCTGGATCGGTCGCGACGCCCGATGCATCTGCCAGACCCGCCAGTTCCCAGAGTTTCCTGATCCCTCCTCATCCGAGTTTGTCCACAGCCTGCCCTCTTTTGCCACTCTGTCGAGCTCCCAGCTCCCGGGTGTCTGTGTCCAGCAGTTTGGACCTGGGGCCTGCATGAGGTTGGGCTTAGAAAAAGGCGAATCCGTATTTGCCTGCGCGCGATGTGGCGGACACAGGGTTCCAGTGCTCAAGTGTTTTTTTCTTGCCTCACGATTTTGAAGTTGCCTTGGCTGTCGAGTCTTGGTCTCGGTTTCTTCAGTCTTGGGTTTGGCTAGCCATTGCCCTGACATCCGACGTCGCGAGGCAACGATGCAGCATCGCGAGAAGTCGCGGCCGCAGACAGCGCCCAAGGCCCCATCACTCTGCGGCAGGTCCCACGCCGGATGGATCGGTCAGGGCCGCGGGCCCCCAAGACCGGGAGAACGCGTCCGGCGTGCAAAGACGTTAGGCTCCGATATCGGGGCCGGCCAAGAGAGGAGTGATGACCAGGGGGGACCTTCGACGACCCCCTCTTGGACGCGCCCGAGAAAAGCTCGCGACAGGCTGAAATATCCGTCTGCGAGCTGAGGCATGCACCCTGCTCTGGGGCTCAGGCACTGCCTCCTGCCCTGCGACTTTGTGGTTGCACGGAAGCGCCCCCGCGGCGGCACCGCCGGTTTTTCCTCTTGCGGCCTCTTGCCAGTCGGCCCGGAGCTGGGGGCCGCAGCCTGCTCCATGAGTTCGTCATGGGGCGATGACGTCAGGAGCCGGCAACTGGCACCCGTACCTATGCGACCCCCGATGTCCCTGGATGGAGTTCCGCTAGGGCGCTAGGGGCCCCCGCTCGAAAGGGGGCCCCCCTCGGGGTCCGACAACCCGCGCCCATACCTACAGGCCTACAGGATCCTTTAGCGTCTTCACCTCTTTACCCTCCCCCAGTCCCCCTCCCGTGTGCGTGCGTGCGTGTGTGTGTGTGTGAACGTGTGTATGTGTGTGTGTGTGTGTGTGTGTGTGTGTCGTGCGTGCGTGCGTGCGTGCGTGCGTGCGTGCGTGCGTGCGTGCGTGCGTGCGTGCGTGTGTGTGTGTGTGTGTGAACGTGTGTATGTGTGTGTGTGTGTGTGTGTTTGTGTGTGCACGTGTGTGTGTGTGTGTGAATGTGTGTGTGAATGTGTGTGTGCACGTGTTTGTGTGTAAGTGCGTTTGTGTGTGCGTGCGCTTGTGCGTGCGCTTGTGCGTGTGCGTGCGCGTGCGCGTGCGCTTGTGCGTGTGCGTATGCGTGTGCGTTTGCGTGCGTGCGTGCGTGCGTGCGTGCGTGCGTGCGTGTGTGTGTGTGTGTGCGCGTGTGGTGTGGGTGTGCGTGTGCGTGCGGATTATGTTTTCATCGATGGCAGGCGTTCTTTCCAGGTCGGGGAGGCAACAGTCTGTCGGTGCGCACAAGGGTGTGGCCCGAGAGGGGCGGCCCTCTCGGAGGGCGGGGGGGGGCTTCTCGGAAGGCGGGGGGGCCTTCTAGGAAGGGTCTGGGGGGCTCCTGTGCGGGCTTCTAAGAAGCAGAGACCCCTTTGAGCGCAGCCAGAGGGTGTCCGCGGATCGGTTGGCTGCGTCGCAGTCGGCTGCGTTTGGTCGGTTCCGTCCGGTCTGCTGCTGCTGTGTCGGCGCTGTGCCCTCCGGGGCTGCTCGCGGCCTGGTGGTCTCGCGCGGTTTCGCGCCTACGCTGTCGGGTCGCTCGGTTTTCGCTTGTGCTGCCGCCTTGGGAGGCCATGGGAGGGGAGGGGGCGGGTAACGTCACGAGTCGCGCCGGCGCCGTCTGGGAATTCGGTGCATTCCAGCACGGCGACACGGCGCGAGTCGTGGCGGGAGCGGCCCTTGTAACGGGCGTGGTCGCTTGCGGCGCTCAGGTCCGTTGCTCTTCTTGCCACGCCTTCTCGTCCGTCCTGACCCTCGATCGCCGTCCTTCTCTCCCCGCCTTCTTTCCTCAACCCCCTTCTTTTCCCTCCTGGGCGCCAGCCCTTCTATCGAAGAGCGAGCAATTCGTCTACGAGTTGGCCCCCTGCATCCTGCTCGTAGATCGTAGACCGAGTCACCACTACCACCACCTCCTCATCCTGTTTCTCCTCCTCCCCCTGCTTCGCGATGAGCACCACTTCTGTTTTGAATCGTACCCTTCCCGAGAGCGAGGGGGATGAGCCTGAGTGCTAGGCGCTCTCGCCCTGCTTTTGTTGCCTAGTGTAGGGAGCTTGCGGCTTGCACGAAGTGGCAAGGGTAGGGGAGCCAAGGGGATAGCGGGTGGTTTGTCATGCACTGCATTGCTTGCTGGCCGTGTCCATGTTGGATCAAGGTCAGAGTGCAACAGTTTACGTGGAGGGGTGCATCGCTCGCCGAGCTTAGTGCTGCTTCCATGGCGCACATCTTGAAGCTCTTACCCGATGGCGAAGCCAAGGCAGCCCTCACTGACCTCGACAAAGAGCTGGAGTGAGTCAAGCTCTCGCCCGACGCCTGGAAGTGGGTGGCCACGCAGCTGGGGGACGAGGGCATCAACGGCTTCTTCCTCATCGCCGCGGTCGCACCTGGCGACTGGAGGGAGGCACTGCCCGTCGTCACTGCGGTCCAGCGGGCCAACGCGAACCGTTTTGTTAACTTCGCCAGGCACGCGCTGAGCATCGAGGTCGCAGACCTCGCCGGGCCGCCGCCTTCCACAGGACCAGTCCCTCCCACAGGTACTCCAGCTGCGGGAACCGCACCCTCACCTGCACTTCCAGATGGTGTCGCAAAGAACGCCATCAAGGTCAGCCACGTGTTCGACCAGGGGTGCCGGTTGGAGGTGCTCCCATGCGATCCGCAGGACATCGCGAAGATGCGTGCCCGGTGGCCGACGTCGCCGTTGGTCACGCCGAGCAAGCACATCAACCCTTCGGACACCCAGCTCAGCGTCCTCAAGCGCCTCCAGGACCTCGACCGCAACCTGCTCGCCTTCGACATGAGGGTCTGGGGTCCGTACGGCAGACACTTCATGCTCACCATGCACCACATGAACGCTGCCGGGACGTACCAGGCCAAAGAGGTCCCAGGGGTTCAGCCTTTTGACGGTTAGTTGGAGGGGTGGGCCTTCGCCGCGACAGCGTTTGTCATAGGTGATGTCGTCGAGCGGGGCGTGGCGTACGCGTACGCCGAGAATTTCAAGATGATGGTCCGCACGTGCCCGACTGCGTGGTGGGTCTGCTGCATGGCGGAGTGGGAGTTCCGGTACGAGTTCGCTGTCGAGAAGGCTGCGCGGCAGCGGCAGTTCTTCGCGCAGAACCCTACCCTGTCGATGTTCGACCTGAAGATGCCCTGGAACTCCGTCCTCTTCGCCAGGATCAAGGGCGTGGACGCGATGCAATTCTGGGAGAACGCCCCCAAGGAGAAGGCCAGGAACTTCCACGCAACGCGCCAGTACGCACCCGTCCTGGTGCGACCGGTAGGCGAATCTGTATTCTCCCCCGCAGATGGCGGCCGCCACGGCCGCGACGCCAACGCCCTAGGGACAGCAGCAACCACCAGGCACCACGAGGAGGGCAAGGAAGCGCAAGGCATCAGAAGCACGGGCAGCTTCGGCATCGCAGGCCGGTCAGCCTGGCGCGCCCAGCAGCGGTGCGCACGCCGTGGATTGCAACGCTCGCCGCGCCGACGGTCGGTACTACTCTGCAGAGAACGGCGTCGAGCTCTGCTACTAGTGGGGCCGGAATCCTGGCGGGTGTGGCCGCGAGTGTGCATCGAGGCCGCCCCGTGCCCACGCGCGCGAGCGGCGCCGCGGTCCCCACCGCAGCCCCAGCCGCCCAGCGCACCCCAACTGGAAGCCACCTTCCAGCGAGGGGGGCAACGGCGCAGGCAAGCGCCAGGGCAAGTGAGACGTCCCGGGCCTGCCGCCGGATGGCCGCGCTCCCCGCCGGCGGAGGCAGGAAGACAGAATTCGGGAACGCAAACTGCACGCACTTGTGGGCGGACCCGCCGTTTGCCGGAACGACCGGTTACGCAGCAGGGCTGGGGATACCCAGCATGTTTTTTGCCGGCCTACGGCTGCGAGTGCGCAAACTAGGGCCCACAGCCGCCCGACGGCATTCGACCGCCCCGTGCCGACGCCGCCGTTACGACGGCTTCCTGGCGCACAAGGTCTGCGCCCGACTCCGCCGCCGCCGTTGCGACGGCTGCCGCCGTTACGACAGCCGCCCGCCCGGCGCATCCGACGACCATCCGCCGCCGCTGCCGCCCTTGCTGCGACGGCAGGTATTGCCCATCGCACGTTTGTCGGGCTCTTCGCGGACGCCAGCGGCCTCGCGGCGGCAATCCAGCGGCGCGGTCTACCCGTCCTCCGCGCAGAATCCGGCGGCGCCGACATCTCGAGCAGGAAGGGCTACGACAGGCTCACGGAGCTCATCGGGACAGACCGCGTCCGCTGGCTGCACGCCGCTCCGCTGCGCTCCACCTGTGGCGCCGAGATCCGCGCCGACCCCCCGACCAGCCGCGCGACGCTGCGTTCGTCGAGGCTCCCCTTGGGAATTGGGGCGCGGGAGGGGCGCCCGTGGCGGGTAACCGTCGCCAACTCACTGACGCGCCGCACGGCTGCTCTCTGCGTCGCCCAGGCGCGCGCCGGCGGCCGATTCAGCGTGGTGCACCCTGACGGCAGCTTGATATGGTTGGCCCCTGCTATGCGGCGCGTGCCAAGCCTGTCCGGGGTCAGGCGGTTGTCGAGGAGCGGTGCTGCGTTCGAGATCGGCGCGCCCGGCCGACGCGCTGGCTCACCAACGCGCCCTGGATTGACGTCCTCGCGCGAAAGTGCGCCAACGACGAGTCCGCAGCCGGGGGGGCCCCCAGGTGGCTGAACGTTCTCTGGGACCTTGCGACGCCCTGGCCGCGGCGAAAGCTGTCTCCGACGACGTGCGGGGCGTGGTGCGCCGCGCACGTTTCGCCGAGGGCGCCACTGTCGAACCCTTCGAGCCGCTCAACAAACGGACCAGGCGGGAGGCAAAGAATGCCGCAGCCATCGGCGGGATGCGGCATCCGCACCTCGCATGCGCTCGGATCCCTGGGTGGGCAGCCGCTGGCGCCAGTGTGGGGGCCACCCTGGAGCCCATCATCGCCGGGCACCTCGCTGAAGCCACGCGCGCCCTCGACGACATGGGGCAGCGCGATCACCCTGGGCTCCCGCGCGGACTCGTGCAGGAAGCGATACCTGCCATGGAGGGCGAGTTCTCAGCGCTGGGGGACTTCCTGAACTTCCCAGTCGCGCAGCAGCGAGCCCTGTCAGGGCCCGCATCGTTGCAGGCCTCGTAGCGGCAGCGGGTGACCTGGATGACGTCTTGGCAACGTGGTTCCGACAGGGCACGCCCATTGGCATCGCGCAGCCGATTCCCGAGCGAGGCACCTTCCCGCCATCGGATGGCCTCGAAGATCCGAGGGGGTCGCTGCTGCACGCGGAGGAAATGGCCCCACGGACGTCCAGCATCGGGAACTACGCCTCCTTCGACGAGAACAGTGACCGGGTCGAGGCGGGGCTCAAGCGGGAGCTGGATACGGGCTTCTTGGAGTGGGCGACGTCGCAGGAGGAGCTCGAGTGTAAGTACGGTAAGTTGCTGCTTTCGCGCACGGCGGCAATTGTCAAGGAGAAGAGTGGGCGAAAGATTAGATTGATGCACGATGTACGTCGCAGTCGCGTGAACGATTTTGATGGGATTCCGGAGCGCATCGTCTTGCCTAGGCTGATCGACGCCATCCACACCATGATTGTCATCGCGAAGGAGTGCGACGAGCTGGAGGTTCCAGAATGCGTGGATGTCGATTTTCAGGATGCCTTCAAGCACCTGCCAGTCGGCCCCTCTGAGAAGTGGGTCTTGTCAGGCAAGGCCGTCCTCAACGGAGAGCCCGGCGTGTTCGTGTACCGCGCCATCTTGTTCGGTGCAATTGGCGGCCTTCTCGTCTGGGGCCGCGTCGCCGCACTACGTCTAAGAATTGCTGCCGCGACCGTCGAGCCTGGGCGAGTTGGTCTCCAGTGTTACGTGGACGACCCGCTCATCGCATTGAGAGGCTGCCCTGACCATAGCGATCGCGTGCTGCTCATGGTCCTCCTGATCTGGACCGCGCTGGGCTTCGAGCTCTCATGGGCGAAAGGCGCGCGAGGCCAGGCCGTCGACTGGATCGGCGCCCGCTTGTCGTTTGTGTTTACCGGCGGGGTCGTCGCGCACGTGGCCGCCACGATCAACGAGGACAAGGCCGACGTCCTCATCACCATGGTTACCGGCTTCTTCGGCAAGAGGTCTGCCAGCAGGAAGTTCCTGAAGAGGCTGGCCCGGCTTGACGCAAAGGGCGCCGCGCGCCATCCAGGGCCGGCTTCGCTGCTCAGCGATTCGCTTCGTGCCGGATCCCCTTGTTTAGGGGGGCGGATGCGCGCGAGCCCTCTGCAGGTGAGCAGAGGCGCGCCCGCGTCGTCCTATCGAGGTGCGCATCGCGTGCACGTGGCGCTGTTTAGCGCGAGGTGCGCCGCGCGCCCTACGGAACCGGCGTCGCTGTTCAGCGATTCGCATCGTGCCTGACCCCCTGGTCAGGGAGACGCCCGCTGTTTGCCGACGGTGATCGGAGGGGCATACTGTGTCCGCGGATCTGTGGTCAGCTTCGCCTCGCTGAGAGCTTTCTGGGGGGTCCCGGAGGGCTGGCGTTACGTTCCATGCGCTGTCTGGCACCCTCGGGAGTGGCGCCGCTGTTCAGCGCTTCTCCTCGTTGTCGGCC